TTCTCTCAGTATCTCATGGCAAAAATATGATAAACACTGTGACAAAGTTAAAAAATATATACCCTTGATTTCAGGGATAAGGCAAAAAAAGCCATTTATAAATAATAATTGTGACAATAGGGATAAAAAGTCTTTTTCCTGATATCTTGTTTTAAAATATGCACAACACTAGGGATACTAGGTAAATCAAAGCCAGCAAAATATTCAAAAGTTTTACAACAAACATTAGAATAGGCAAAAAAGAACTGTGAAATTTGACAAGTACAGAATGATTTTAAATATTGGCACATCGCTAAATCCTAAGTTCTACAGCTATTGCCTGAGAGTCCCAACTGAAAATAACATCTTTCTTAACAGTTAAAGGTAATGCAAGATCTGCAAGTGAGATGAAGTACTTGTAAGTAGCCCACTTGTGAGTCACCTGTCCTTAAGTGCTGACATCCATGCTCAAAATTGTACTGATGATTACCTGGATGGTTGAAAGGGGAGGTAGGTGAGCATCAGCCATGCAAGCTACATACCACTCATTCCGTGATCATCTAATGCTGTAAGAAACCTCAGATGGCCATTTTGTCGTAGTCCTAAAAAATCCCATGCTCCTCGGAAAGCTCATTGAAAGCTCCTAGACCTCAGGTGGAGCTGGGAAGCTTGGATGTACGACCTGAACAGCTGCAGAGATGTATCACATTGCTTAAGAAAAGCTAACATGTTGCAGTGGAAGTGGAACCTTCAGCTTAGAGAAAACAAAGGCCTGTGATAGTTCCTGCATTAGTAAACAAAGTGCCAGCTCTTTCTCTGTTACTGTTCGGAAGCCAGTGACACAGATGCATAAAATCCAGCATTAGGCAGTTGTTTCAGGCATTCACATTGCAATTAGATCTGGTTTTCTACATGTGCTGTCAAAAGAGGGTGCCAACACCTTATGGGCATGTAAAGGAAGGTACCTCAAAGGTAAAGTATTTCCCTTACTTTCTTTTGGGTTGTTTCATAAAGACTATCGAGTTCTCATTGATCCCCGAGATCCTATTATGCTAGTTCAATAAAAGAATCCCCAGAAAGAACCTCTTAGAACCTCCTTCGGGAAACCGCAGAAAGATTCCCAAGGACTGGGAATATGTTCAGAACTAAACATTATCTCCTTCCTACTGTAACTTCATATCCATTTTTTTCTAGCATGTGTGGACTCATTTGAAGAGACAACTTCCCAGCAACTTGTAGTTGCTTACTTTGAGGCTGCAGTGGAACACGAGAATGTGAAAGGTTTGATAGAGGAAGAAGCAAGAGGTGCAAATTCATAGCCAAACCTAATAATTGTAGAGACATTTCTAAGAAACGCTAATAAGGGAAAAGTAAAGAAATATCAGAGAAAAGCATGTGCTTATTTGTGTTGTCCTTTACCCTCAGATTTAGATTCAAGGTTTAACTTCAAGCTGATCTAATCATCGTTAAATATTATGTCCCTCACATTGAATTCTATTTTCATGGGCCTGTCACACCGGAGCAGAAATAAACACTATTTATAATAAGGTGAACCTTGAAATGGGAAAATATCTTCAAATGAAAGTGTTACAACTTCCAGGAAAGAAGACAGCTATTGTAAAAGCAGATTAGAAATTATTTTCTGCAAAATGAAACAGAACAAACCGAATCCAGACCTCTGCTTCAATAATCAGTTCTGTATGTATATATTCTCTAGCAAACATCAGTTCATTGAATATAATACAACATTTCTTTGGAGCACTGTTCTGTTCACTCCAGCTTTTTGATCACTTCATGGTCAAGGGCAACAGAAAATAGATTCACTGTAATTAATTGTTCTAGGAGAAAACATTGAATATATTGGATGTAAAAGCATTTAAACTGCAGTTTCTCACAACAACACTCACCTTGTTTCTGAAAGCAAATCAGCCTTCGTGAGAAGCTGTGGGCAAATTCTGGGCCATTCAGCAGTGGGGCCTCATAACATAAGAGATGCAACCAGAAATGTAAGATCAGAGCAAGCAGCTCTACAGATACAGACTATCTATTCCCACATGGAGCTCATTAGTGCACATGCTGAAATCTGCTTGCTCAATATTGATTTTAGTTCTAAAATGTGACTTGACAAGAGATATGAAATGAATAGAGAAGGCAGAAGAAGAAAAACACCACAATCTCTAGCTCAGAGTATGTCAGAGGTGATGAAACTCTGGAATTTATGTTCTATGTGGCCATTTAATTCTTTGCTATTCTCTTTTGGCAGAAATTGAAATAAGATGTCAAAATCTCCCATGCAGAGAAATTTCTAGAAAAGTTATACCTCAGAAATGCTGGATATGATCTGGATTTTCATTTCAATAAAGCCAAAAGAAGCTTCTTACTGGAGTTTTCCATGATAAAACCTAATGAAAGTTGTTGGAAATATCCAAATAATGTTGTCAGGACAGTATCTCTGATAAATGCAGATTTTATTCACGATTGCAATGGTGGGCATCCCACGAGCAGGAGCACATCTATGGACACAATGACAGCTTTTGTACCTTGTTTCCCTCCTTGCCTACCCCGCTCCCCTGTTTCCCCATTGTCCGTGTACTCCAGGCTCACAATCTTATCAAAGGTTTATATTTGTTAATTTGTGTGTAATCTGGTGTCAGTCAGTAGCCATCCTGTTGTTTCCAAGACATCACAGTACTCTTCCTATCGTATTGTTACAGTGATCTTCTCCAAAGTCCTTGTTAAACAAAGAGTACTGGGTTTTAATGTAATAATATACACATATTGAGATTCTAAAAGTTTTCAAAAATTATCTCCTAAATTTCAAGGAGCGATAAGAGCTATAAAAGTATTTTTAGAAGTGTTTACTAATGTCCACAGAATAATTTATCTTCCTCTCTTTGCGGTTAGCTTTCCTTGATGTTCAGATTAGTTTTTTTCTCTGAAAGCATTGCATGACAGAAGTCGCTGCTTTCCCTTCAGTCCCACAGACTCCCTCAGCACAGCTCATCAAGGCAGCCAGAGGACACGACAGTGCAAGCAGCAATTTTTAGGCTCAACTATGGGACTCTGCACATCCTCTGGGAACATTTACTGAGATCGTCAGTGGACTCCTGGGAGCCCACTGAGAAACACCACAGTGTCTGCTGCTGGGAAAAGTTGGCTGTGACTGCTCACATGTTTTCAAAGCTGGGGGAGGCCTACAGCTCGCAGAGCTTTGGAGTAACGCATGCTCAGGAGTACCAAACCATCAAGGGAGGGATCTCCAGTGTCTCTGCTTATTGATTTGGGAAACCAAGACTTCCACAGTGGTACACTCTGGGATCTGGTAACCTCCTGCTCCCTCTCCATCTGCAGCTACAGAGGAGATTCAGTGCCATGGAAGATGAGGCTTCCAAGGCTCATCCAGTTGTTGCTCTGTGATCCTCTGCTGCTTTTCCACATCAGCACCAATTCGGTGGCCAGCAGGAACCTGAATAGTATCACATATTACAACATGGTTCTTAGGTAGTGGTCAGTGATGTGGGAGCCTAGCTGGCATCTTACGAATCCTGTTGGTAGGAAGAATGTGAGGAGAAAGGTTGTAAGCAAAAAGGACATGAGGCTGAAGAGATGGATCATGCAGGTCAACAAGCAATTATACAGTAGGAGCTACCAATTAGTGATTTGTTTTTTTTCTGACCATAAGATCCTCTCTGAAGACTGAAGACTGCTGTTAAGAGATTGACACAACTGACTATATGGAACAAAGACATCATTTCCAACACTTGTGGAAAGGAATCTATTCTAAGCATGTGCAAATAAAGAAGTTATGAGGAAAAAGATGATCTTAGCAGTGAGTATAAATATCTGACAGCAGGAGTAAGAAACATAGGCCAGTTTCTTCTCAGTGGTATCAGGTGATGTGACAAGAGGAAACGGTAACAAACTGATATACAAGAAAATCCACTGAAATAAAGGAATAAGCTTTTGTACCATGAGAATGGTCATATTCTAGAAAAGGTTGTACAGAGAAGCTCTGAAGCATTCCTCCTTGGGGATATTCAAAGCCCATTTGAACACACTCCGTGCAGCCTTCTCTGTGTGACTTCCATGGACACGGTAGGTGATCACCAGACATACTTTCAAAACTGAGACACTCTATATATCAGAAGAATCCATTTTTTGTTTATAATAATGCCTTTGTTATAGCAATATTAATGCTTGATAAGAAAGAAACTACATACACTGTCAAATCCTTTCTCAGTCAACTTATTTCAGTCAAATTTCTATAACTCCTCTCTGTAACAATGCTGTCTCCTACTGTTTGTTATCTCCATCAGTTTACTAGCAGACAAAATGAATTTGATTGTTAGGAATTACAGAACATTAAATGAGATGAAAATAGAGTTCAAAGTGAATAAAATAGAAAAAAAAAAAAAAAAGTATAGCTCCATAAATATCAATGATTTGTAAAATAGAAAAAAAAAAAAAATCAGCAAAATAAGAAGTCAGTATGAATAACATCAAAAAATATATATGATATTGCCATAAGACTGAAAGCAAATCAGGGAAATTCTAAGATCATTACATCATACATAGTAGAATACTGTTGCCAGCAGGTGGAAGGAGGCCAACCTTCCTCCCCGCTTCATGGCCAGCAGCACGTCCCCCTGTGCACTGCCTGCAACAGCCGCCATCTTGCTTGGGTGCCCAGGGCCCACGCCCTCAGCCCTCTGTGAGGTAGCGACTGCCTCACCACGGATGTCACGGAGCAGCCATTGTGACCTAGGGGGCCAGGACCGGGTCAGGCCAGGCCAGGCTCAGACCGTGGGTCAGTGCGACCTGGTGAGGTGAGGAGAGGAGAGGGCAGGGAGCGAGGGGCTGCCTGAGGTTGCTCAGTGAGGAGGGGTCCCCTCGCCTGGGGGCCTGAGCTGCCAACTCACTCTCGTCCTGCTTCTCCCGCAGAGTCGGCAGAGGAGAGTGTGGAAGACAAAGCCCAGCGCTGACTGGGCAGGGACTCCGAGCGCTCACTGTTGACGCGTGCCATGTCCAAAAGGAAGCAGAAGACCTCCAACCCGGAGGTTGAAGGTGAGAGCAAAGGATCTCTGCGTGCAGCTCCCTGCCGGGCAGAGGGGCACTGCGGGCTCTACCTACTGTGCGCGAGAGGGGAGGCGGGGGCAGGCAGGGGCTCCCCACACACCGCTGGGCATGGCCCCTCTGCCCCTCAGCCGGGTTGGCCTGTGCGTGCCTGCTGGGACCGTTGGGCCTACAGCGGCCCTTTCCCCCTCGCGTCGTCCAGCCCTGCCCCTCATCCTGCATGGCAGACCCAGGGCAGGCCCCTGGCAACAGGCCTCAGGGACGCTTGGCACTCACTCCTGCTTCTCTTTGCTCTCTCCTCTTCAGTATGCATGCTGTGTCGCCGAGCAGATGTTCACCCGGACGCCTGCGGGCCCATGCTTGGTGAGAGCGGGCTTTGCGTCCACAAGTTTTGCTTGGTGAGTTCTCTCAGGGCTCCTTCCGCCCTCCAGCCAGGGACGCTCCCTCTTTTCCATCCTGTCCTCATGACATCCTGCTCTTTTCTCTGCTACAGTTTTTTGCTGACGGCCTTTACGAACACACTGCCGGACAGAGGGCGGTTCTGAAGATCCCCCTTGATGCCATCAGATGCGCAATCGAGGAGGCAGAGCAGAAGGTGAGGATCTCAAGGAACGGGGATGTTTGTGCCAGCACCAGCTAAGCCTGGAGCCTAAGCAAGCAATGGCACTCTTTCCACCTAGCACCAGGACACAGTTCTTGATTAAACGAAGATCAAACTTGTCTGCTGGCGCGTCTGCAGAGCGTGACCCAGCGGTGCCTGCATTCTGTGCCCTGCCTGGAGGCGTGGCGTTGGCCTCAGAGGCCCTGAGCCTGCTGCTAATGGGGGCTGCTCTTCTCCTTCCAGCACTGCTTCGTTTGTGGAGACAAGGGGGCCTCCATCTACTGCGCAGAGACAGGCTGTGAACGCAGCTTTCATCTGCCCTGTGCCACGGATGGGGAATGTGTCACGCAGTTCTTTGGGCAGCACAGGTAAGGGCTGTCAGCAGCAGCCAACCAAGGGAGGAACCTGCACGGCTGCTTCCCAGTGCTGAAGCATGCAGCAAACTCCTTTGTGTTCCTCTGCTGACATCGCAGCACTTCTCGGCTCACCCATCCTGTCCATCTTCCCCCAGGTCCTTCTGCTGTGAGCACCGCCCTCAGCAGGCCGTGGAGGCAGCTCCAGAGCAAGACACAAACTGCGTCATCTGCCTGGAGCCCGTGGGGGACAAAAAGTCCTACCACACCATGGTGTGCCAGGTGTGCACACAGGCCTGGTTTCACCGGAGCTGCATCCAGGTAGGAGCCCTCCCTGCCCTTGCTCTGCAGTCACAGCAGGTGCTCAGCTGCACCAGGCCCCGCTCACACTCTGGCTGCTTGTGTTACCGCTGCAGGGACAGGCCATGAGCGCTGGCATTCTGCGCTTCCGATGTCCCGTCTGCAAAGACAGGATGCAATTCCGGAAAGAAATGCATCTCCTCGGGATCCAAATCCCAGCCAGGTTGGTGCCTTCTGCCCAGCTCTCCAGATACTGAGGCGCAAGTGCTGTGCCTGCTCAGGGATTGCCTCCAGTATGCCCAGCTGACCCTCTGCTGTCCCACAAGCCTTGGCCGCAGCTTCATGGACAAGCTGGGAATAGGCTTGCGCTGGAAGAGCAGGGATGTCCCAGATCCGCTCTATGCCTGGGGTCCTGAGAACTCATTGCTTTCTCTCCTTTCTCTGGCAGAAGACCAACATGGGAGGACGAAGAGAGCTATGAAACTCTGCACAAGATACACCAGCGCTGTGATGCCGGCGAGTGCCTTCACACAGGAGGCAGGGAGCGAGAAGAGGGAGACGGGTGAGTTACCACAGCAGCCCTGCGTGGGATCTCAGCCTCCCCCCAGGCTGGGGAGCAAGGACTGAGGTCAAGAGCTGCTCCCGCCACTCCCTGCTTGACTCATTTTGTGCACACACACACAGAATCAGAATCACAAGGTTGGAAACAACCTGCAAGATCATCCAGTCCAACCACCCTCCCAATCCTATCAGTGCCACAAGCTACTAAACCATCTCTCGTAGCTCCTTATCCAGGCGCCTCTTGAACACTGCCAGGGATGGCGACTCCACCACCTCCCTGGGCAGGCCATTCCAGTGCCTGACCACCCTCTGAGAGAAAAAGTTTCCCCTAATATCCAACCTAAACCTCCTCTGGTATAACTTCTTGCCATTTCCTCGGGTCCTACTATTTGCCTGGGAGAAGAGGCCAGACCCATTTGCACCACAACCTCCCTTCAGGAAGTTATAGAGAGCAATGAGGTCTCCCCTGAGCCTCCTCTTCTCCACACTAAACAATCCCAGCTCCTTCAGCAGCTCCTCATAAGACTTGTGCTCCAGACCCCTCACCAGTTTCGTTGCCCTTCTCTGGACACATTCCAGGGCCTCAATGTCTTTCTTGTAGTGAGGGGCCCAAAACTGAACACAGTACTCGAGGTGCAGCCTCACCAGTGCTGAGTACAGGGGGATGATCACCTCCCTGCTCCTGCTGGCCACACTATTTCTAATGCAGGCCAGGATGCCGTTGGCCCTCTTGGCTACTTGGGCACACTGTCGGCTCATGTTCAGCCAAGCATCAACCAACACCCCCAGGTCCCTTTCCTCTTCACAATCATCCAACCACTCATCCCCAAGCCTGTAACGCTGCCTGGGGTTGTTGTGGCCAAAGTGCAGAAAAAAGTGCACACAACTACAACCTCTTTTTTTTTTTTCCCCAGGCCCTGGGAGCTGCTCCTGTGCACCTCGTGTGCTGCGCAAGGCACCCACCGGCTCTGCTCCGATTTGAGCAACAGCCTGAGCAGCTGGGAGTGTGACAGCTGTGCTGGCGTGGGCACAGGTAAGAGGCAAAGAGCCGTGGACTGCTGCCTTGGGGCCAGGCAAGGCCTGGCACAGCCGCTCCTCAGTGAGTTTCTCTGCCCCGGGAGGGCTGGGTTCCTCTCCCTCCACGGGGCTGCCGGGTCATCCTGTTGACCTTCCTGCCTCTCCTTACAGCCTCCAGTGCTGAGTCGCAGCTTGCTGGTCCCAGCACTGCCAGCCAGGAGGCGCCGGGACCATCTCATAGCTCCCCAGCACCTGATGACCGCAGATCTGCCTCTACCAGCCAGGCAGCATTGGAGTCATCTCCGAGTTCCCAGCTGCCTAAGCGCAGCAGCCTGTCCAGCCAGCCCAAGACAGGACAGAGGAAAAGCCCGCGACGTAAATCCAACCAAGAAGATCAAGGGAGCAGCCAGCAGCAAGTGGGGTACACCTCCAGAAGGCAGTCCAGGCAGCAGGGCACAGGCCGGACAAGAAGCCGCTCTCCACTCAAGGGTCGTGCTTCAAATTCCCCCAGCCAGCTCAGAAGACCAGCTGGCAGCAGACGCTCTCCAGCCTCAGGCGCTGGGAGGAGCATACACATTTCTGCCAGGCAGGGGGCATCCAACAATTCCCCGGGGGCTGCAAACATCAGATGCCCAAGACAGAGACAAAACCAGTCCTCCCTACAAGGTCCGGCATCAAATCCCTCGAGCCAGCCCCAAGGACGCCGTGGCAGCAGAATTAGCCCGGCCCCAGGTGCTGGGAGCAGCACCCAGAGCTCTGCCGGACAGGTGGCATCGAGGACCTCCAGGGATTCCCAGCTGCCTGAACGCAGAAGACGTTCCAGTGTTCTGCAGCGAGGGCAGAACCAAGATCGAAGCCGTTCCCCACGGGATCGTCGGCCTTCCAATTCCCAAAGACAGTCGGGAGGAAGCCTCAGCCCCCGTTCCAGGAAGAGGCGGCCATCTCAGGCACGACGCCACTCCCGGGACCAGCCCTGAAGATCCTGCAGGAGCAGCCATGGACCAGAGGGAAGAAAAAGAAGCGTTAATGGCTTACGAGCTGGTGTGGCACGGCCCCGTGACTATAGAGGCAACGGACTCGTGGGCCCCAGGAGAAGCATACGGAGATTGCAGACGGGTCTACAAAAACTGCAAAGCAGCGGCAACCATCTGACGAGTCCGCGAGAGGGAGAGCGGCCGGTGTCCTGCCAGGAGCTGCAGCTTTCTTCCTCTGAGCCCAAAGTCCTCTGGGGAATGCCGCTCCTCCTTTCCCCTCCGACAACCAAAATGCCTCAAAAAAGCAGTGCACAGAACCAGAACATCAACTCTCCAACTCCCACCGCTTTACGTGATGTTCTGATGTGGAATACCAACAACAAAAATTACAACACCATAACAAAAAATAAAACCAAAAATTTACCCCCAAAAAGCTGTCTAGTGTCTACTCTCTAAACCGGGAGCTGAATACTCCAGCTACACCGTTAGAGCTCTGAGGATGAAGAAGGATCCAATGTATATCCCCTGCATAAGGAGCAGGGCAGATATCTTTACACAAGCACAGCGCTTCCAGGAGGACTGGTCAGAGAAGATCCAACCAAAGGCTTACAGGCAACACAGGCTCTTGGCATATGTATGTAGCGTCATTGCCAGAGCAGGCTGATTTTGCACAACTATGGCTACGCTACACCCAGCTTGTCCTAGCTCATACTGAGCCCCCTTGGTACCCTCCACACGCAGCAATTTGGTGGTGTTCACACCCAGCATGACTGCAGTGACTGCAAGCGGTCCGCTGCTGAGCTACAGCCCAGTTCAGCTGCATCTCAGCGCTTGTCTGAGCACGCATCCACAGGTAAAAGACATGCAATCGGACACCCCTGATGCAAGAGGACAGAGAAACTGCACTCACTTCATTGCAGTATCTCCCTGCTTTCTGTCACCAGCTGCTCTTTAACCACAGGCCCTCTGCAACCTCTCTTGACATCGGATGCCAAGATCTGATGTCAGCAGTGCCAACCGGAGCCTGAAATATTCCAGCTGCCCACTGCCCACCTCTTCTTCCTTCCAAACCTAGCAATTTGTGCTAGGTGCATGCACACACAAATGCTGTCATTACAGCTCTGCTCTCAGCAGAACTAATGAAAGTTAACTTGAATTACATCAGCGGAGGCCGAGCTCAGTTTTTTATCAGGGAAAAACTGAAGGAGCTAACACAAAGGAGATGCAATGAACTTGCTCATGTACCTACTTCTGGCAGTAATACTAAGGTACTGCCCATACAGTAGCACTTGCAGCCAGACAATCCTCATCTCCAGGGTTCCCAACACTTAACATGGCATTACAGCCTTCATTAGCAGCAATGAGATTTCATTCACACCCCCTTCAAGTCCCGTTTGACGCACTATCAAGCCAACACGCCAGCTCCTGTAGCCATTAATTCAGTTAAAACTCTTTGCAATGAATGCCTGATAAGAGGTTTAGTACTTTAACCCAGCTGAGAGGAAATACGAGCCAGTAGAGCCAAGGCATTATTGTTATTTTAAACAAAGTTGATAGTTATTACATTTGCTTTTTCCAGTCCATTCAGGGCTGCAGATTTACTGTGAACGGTCCTCAATACCCCTCACCATACAGCAGTCGATTGCCCCATTCTGTTGGTTTTTATAAATGGAGCTGGAAACAAATAGGTTCTGTGACACTGAAGGTGACTGTCTCTATGGCTTTCCTCCAAGAAGGGTCTCACAGACTTCCCCCTATTCCCTTCAATCAGAATGATCCAGACCCTTTGTTAAACTGTTTGAGTTTTGCCTGGAGAGGAGTGCTGGGCACACCACCAAACCGCTCTTAGGAAAAGTTATACCAGCTGTACCCTTCTGCAAAAGGACTGAAAATTGTCAACCCTCAAAGCTGTTTGCTGAGTGGATATCTCCCCACAGCCTTGTATTCTATTCCTATAGGTATTTCTGTCATAATGTTCATAATGTCTGTCAACATTTATATCAAGACTATACTGAATATATGTTTGAGAGATGCAGACAAAAGTAAAGACAACTATTTAACCAAAAATTCATAAGAACTTCCATCTTCTGGGAAGCTTCTCTTCCTGCATTACCACCTGCTTGTTTTTCTTTTCACGTTATACACTTGGAAAATACATTGAGATGTTTCACACCAGTTGTCCCATGCAATAGATGTCTTTGAAAGGCAGGGGATGCCTCTAAAATACTCCCCCGTAATTCATATGTTCTAGGCATTGTCTGCCTCAAAGTTATAGCTTTCTGCTCTTTATGATGTGGAAATAATTTGAATGGGTTGAAAAACAACAGACTCTTTGGAATTCCATATATTTTTGAAAACTATTACCAGGGAAAATTATTATAGGCATTAAAGGAAGAAGACATAGAGGTGAAAAGGAAGAAGACATAGAGGTGACCGCTTTCATAGAAGTTTCTGAAACTTTTTGTTTCTAACTGTGAACTCCAAAATCTTTTCTCTAAGACCTCTCTCATATCTGCCTGTTGTAAAGAGTGTTGGTCTGATTCTCCTCTCTTCCTGCTGAAGATGGATGACTACAGCAGTGACTACCAGATTCACAGGAACTGGGAATACACACCTAGGTTTGTAAAGCATCTACAAAGGAAATTTGGTTTCTGGTGTCACGTCCAGATCTTATATAACTAAGCAGTCCCTATATTAAATGTTTAAAGCATCTAGGTAAAGAAAATTAAGTTTAGCATTCACATGCATAGCTGAATACCATGACCACTTGCTACAGAGGACTACAAGAGTCTTGGGAACTTCAGCAGAGATATTGGAAAGTAATTGCTTGTAGCTTAGCAGGCAGCATTTTGGGTGAGGTAATCTAATGTACAGCAGATGGATGATCTTATGCTTAGGGTTTTGAACTCACATTTGAATGAGTGCTCTTGGTACTATAAAAGGCAGACACCACCATGGTTAAGAGCGTCTTTTGTAAGCAGCAGCCCTAATGGATCCAGTCATTCAGGAGACACATCCATTCATACAATCCTACTCCAAGGCAGCTGAATTCTGCCCCTGTATATCAGCAACTACACGTGAGCAGAGCTGCCCAGGCTAAAAGTTCATGATTTTACTGGTTACCAAGGACTAGACTTGAAAAATAAGGTGTTCCTCATTAGATCAAGATAAATCTTGGCTAAAGTATATATAGCTAGGATGAGATATAACAGTCAAAGCCAGATATAAAAGTTAGGTGAGACTAGATCCCAGTAATAATGTTGCACTTAAGAGCCTTAACTGTGATATTAAATGGACAAGTTCTCTGTTGAATTAAGCGCTCAGAAAAGAAAGCAAGCTGTGTCCTGTGCTGATTTGAAACACTGGAATTAATGAGTCCAGAGTGGCTGAGAGGAGGGAAGATTTAGGTTGGATGTTAGGGGGAAGTTCTTTACAAGGAGAGTGGTTAGGCCCTGGAACGGGCTGCCCAGGGAGGTTGTGGATGCCCCATCCTTGGACGTGTTCAAGGCCAGGTTGGACGGGGTCCTGGGCAACCTGATCTGAATGTGTATGTTTGGTGGCCCTGCCAGGCAGGGGGGTTGGAACTACATGATCCTTGAGGTCCCTTCCAACCCGGGTGATTCTGTGATTCTGTGTGATTCTGTGAGATTTAGTCTTACCATAAATCTTCTTTGTGGTGACTGTAAATTTTAATAAAATCATAGTTATTGCTGAGAAATCATCTTTAGTAATGGTATCACAGACAATGCAAAAATATTGACATAAAATACAGGGAAATACAATTAGCATTTGCAAAAGCAGATAAAAAACAGGAAAATGAGATGCAGTCGTAGTAACATGACTGCACATGTGGGAACAGCATTCAGGATCCTGTATTTTTAAAATTAATAAAAAAGAGGTCTGAGCAGTGTTTGCAGTTCACCAAAAGCAAGGTAAAGCAAGCGAAAATTCCGCCAGATTAGCATAAAAATTCTCTCTTCTGTAACAGCCCACGTAATGGTGAGATAAAATAGATACATTTCTCCATTTTCAAATGTCGCAAAAAAGAGCTGAAGTTCATCTTAGAATCGTATGAGTTGGAAGGGACCCTTACAGATCATCTGGTCCAACTCCCCTGTCATGAACACAGACGCCTACATCTCCATCAGGCGCTCAGTGCCCAGTCCAGCCTGACCTTGAGTGTCCCCAGGGATGGGGCAACCTGTTCCAAATCCTCACCACTGTTATAATAAAAAGTTTCTTCCTTACATCCAATCTAAATTTCTCCTCTCTTAGTTTGAAACCATTACCCCTTGTCCTACCACAACAGACCCTGATAAAGAAACTGTCCCCTTCCATCTTATAGCTCCCCTTCGTAACAGGCCTGTCCCAATGAACACATGGCATGGAGCAATAGTGGGAGAAGTAGTTTGGTTAACATCTCACAGAGGACAGATCAGATCATCACACATCTAACCTTGGCGGGTTTAAGATCATAATAAGGAATATCTAACACTTTCAACAAAAATATATGAAACAAAATGTCTTCATTGTTTGCCTGGTTTTGCAGTTGAATTTACGTATAAACCTACAAATTATTGACTGTTGTGTGAGAGTACTGAAAGGACTGATAATAAAAATATAATGTAGTAAAGCTGAATCCATGAGGCTGAATCCACACAGTCAGCACTAATTGCTATGGGCCTTGATGGTCTCAATGACCCAGATGAAAGTAATCAAGACTTACAGCTCCTTGAGGAGGGAAACTGGACCTTGAGCAGACCTCACATTTCTCCTCTCCCATTGCCCTCAATTTGAGATATCCTTTTATAAGAGTTTTAAGCCTCAGGATGGTTCTTAACCTGTTATCCCTGTTCATGAACTGCAGACTTTGCTGTGTTCAGTAGGGTTATTTTCCAGGCTTTAGCAGGGGCTTTTTTCATCACTTGGCTGTTTTTCTTTCTTGCTTTACTGCAACTTCTTGTCTTAAGGCGAAAACAGTCTTTTCAGATCTTACCCTTGCCCTTCTCCACTGGCCAGGTAACCATCAGTTAGTTGTTCATAGTTCTCAGGCCTCTCTTCAACCTGTGCCTTTTAATTTCAAGGTCTTCAGTGTTATTGCCTGCCTCAGCTTTGTACCATAGAAGGAAATACACAATAGCATGTTCCAGTTCAGATAGCAAGCTGGTAACAAGCCTA